GCCACATAAAAATTATTTTCAAAAATAAATCCTGAAGATCTATTCTTTTCTACGTTCGTTGAACTTGTAAACTTTAGATGATTCTATTCTATACTTCTTCTCGCTTAAAATCGTTTTTAACCTGCAGTCTCAGGTGTTCAGGTGTATAACTGCGATGACAAATGTTCGAGTACTAATATCCCGACATAACAAAGGAACGAGAGAGAGGAAAAACGTCACTCAGCGACCCCTTATAATTTGGCCTGGAAAGCTGTCATTTTTAATAATTTACTCTGACACCCTGACGTCCGCGTCGTCGCAGTGAATAAACACTTCTTTGGAACCGCGCGCTGTCTTGAATTTCAACGTATACTGAACGAATCTAAGTACGACTTTAGACTTTATTGATCGGTGATTTATTAATCATATTTTTTCAATAAAACGGCCACGTTTGTAAGTTTCATGAGTTCGTCTATAAGAAGTTTTCATTCCATTCTTTAATTTGTTAGTGCCTTAACTTACTTTTTAATATATATTCGGCTTTTAGAACAGGTAAGTAAAGTAAGAAAGATAGATACTCTTAAATATAGGAATCAGAACAGGGACTAAGTACCACTAACTAGAAGGGCACGGGAATTTTAAACCTTTTATATGGAAGCCTCTTAAATATATACCAATAAATTACAAATTTCACTGATTATTTTTTCACGTTGTAAGTTACTATCTGTTTGTTATGCTACCAATAAAGGCAGACAGCGAAGCTTTAGAATCATCGATCCTTTTTACCTTTTGGTGTCGGTACGCTTTCGGTTGCCTATAAGGACTTCAATCTCGCAGCAACTATAAATTAAACACTTGGAATTTTTATTTACACATTTACTTCTTAAAAATTTACTTACTCTAAGTTATTATATGGGCGTTTTAAATTCATACGCTTATTTAAAGGCTATTCCCTTGCTAAAGCTTATATAGAGTCTAATAAAAGATGCCCTTTTAAAATGAGAACAAGTATAAATTGTGGAGGCATCTATAGTTATGACATATTAACAATTTACTCAACCTTAAAATTTTCATAATTTGCAATTGATTTGATGCCAATTTTGTTTTTCATATAGTCTGAGAATTCAAATTACAAATTTTAAAAGTGTTTTAATGAGAGAACAGGTGAAAACACTTTGCTCGTTCATTTTACGAGTAAAATGTTTTAGTACGTTTGGCTATTGAAACTTTTAACTATAAAAATGCTATGATGTCTGGAGATATTTTATATAAATAGATTATACTTTGTAAAGCTGAAAGAGAAATGTAAAGATAAAAGTATATTGTGTTTTGCATGTATATAGTATTAGGCGATGTCACTACTAAAACTGCTTCGTCGGGCTAGTGGTTAGTGAACCCGGAAATATTTACCCCGGATGGGACAAAGAATTAGTATGGTTAGTTTCAGTCGTTCAGTGTCTACTGCTGAACATATGCTGCTCCCAAAGACTTTCAGTACGACCGATCGTTCGCTACTTGAATCCAGCGTTTCCCGCTACATTGACCAGGTCGTCGGTCCACCTGTCCGACGTCCGGTACATGGTCTCCACTGTAGAACGATTTTGCCCTAACGGCCGTCAGCTCTGCGAGCGATAAATCCAGCCCACTGCCACTTCAACTTGCTGATCCGATGGGCTATGTCAGTGACTTTAGCTCTCTAGTTATTATATTATTTATAAGTATTCATAGTATTAGCGTGAAATTTTCAAGAAGCAGATATTCTCGCGAAACACTACCTTAGATACCACCTTAAGCCGTACGCCTCGGTCCCGTTTATCATGCCCAACTTGGTGGCGAAAGCAGCGTGGTGGGTCTTAAACTCTTTCTTTAAAGAGAGGTGACTTGTCATGGACATTAAAAGGTTACTAATTGTAAGATGCACATGTATATATCGGAGATGGTTATGAATACGGTCACTAAAGGGGTCAGAGGGGAAATTATAAATCAGAACCAACTGCTTGACACGAGGACGTATGATGTCATGATGGCCGTGTCGCTGTTCTTCCATCTATTCTATTTATCAATTCGACTGGATAGTTAATGAAACACTTAGAAGGCACATGGGGAAACGCCAAGTAACACTTATGACTTGAATTTGGTCGGCATAGCGGCTGTGACGTTTGACAAACTGTCATCGAGAGATACCAGACATTTATTGACAACTTATATTATTATTTTGAAATAAAGTTGGAATAGTGATTTCTGGAGGTGCACCACACTATCACCGGGTAGTGCAGTTAGTTCTAATCGTGAATGTATTGGGAATGGTTCAGAGTCGATGTTAGTCACAAACTGTCGGTCGAGTTATAAGTTACAGGCACTGTATCGAACTTACTGCGTTTCCAAAAGTATGTAAGTAAGATTCATATTGTATTGTTATTTCTCTATGGACTATTTAAATATTCTTTAGTACCGTACGAAATCGTCTATATATATATATATATATATATATATTACATCTTATTACATCAAATACAAAAGTGTGAATAAACAGAGAACCATAAGAATGTTTCGTATGAAAAGAGCGTTGATAAAGATTTTGAGAATAAAATTTTGATGCAATTTTCTCAAACAAAAGCTTCACAGCGTGTTCACTGAAAATATGGGAAAACTAGACTGCATTTTCAAAAGGCCTGTTACTAACAAAAGAGCGCTTATCTTGACAAGATCTTATCTGTCAACTGTTCAAACTCAAACTGTGTGTATATGTCTTAATTCTTGTTCGAAAAATAGCAATTTTTGTATGGAGCATAAAATCTAATTCCATTTTATCTGAAGACGTTAGTAGAGCAATTTATTTAATCTGCTGCCGTGGTTTTAATTCCGGTTTCATTCCTAATGCGAACAAATTGGAGCTTTATTGTAAATCTCCCAAGAGGTTTAATTTTATCATAACACTCGCAACGAAGTTGTTTTGCAAATTCTATTTTGTAACATTACAATGATTGAATGGTAACGTAAATTAGAAAATAGCATAACTTTCAAATTATAAAACATCTATGTACAGAGCATATTCATAGATTATAGAAGCGCAAAGCATAAAGTATATTATCGTAGTACTTAAAATGACAGCATAGTAAATATGATAATTTTTGTTTTCTACTAAAGACCACATAAATCGTTATTTATAAAAGTTTTTAAACAAAACTCTAACGGTTTAGAACACGAAATATATTTGTTGACTCATTTAGAACTAATTTCATGGATTAGTCGTAGCCTCTCATGCCTGTAGACCGTTTAAAGTGTTTTATTTAAATTTGAAGATCAGAAGATACTTAATTATAAGTACTTTTTTTAGGTTTTTGAACATTCTTACTTTACACCTATCGAGTACCTATGCTTATATGGAAACTTATGCTACCAATGCCTTTTGTTGCATTGTTCTAGCATTGTGTTAAGCAAGGTCTTAGGTTTGAATCCTGGGGGACCAATATGTAGTTTCGATCGTTTTTAAATTATATAGTGCCTTCATGTGCAATAACATGTGAAAAAATATTAATGTTTTCAAACGTTATAACTTTGTAATTTCATCTTCAATGATTTCTTAAGCTGCAAAGCATAAGACATTGAGCCTTAATACGCAAGTGTTAAGGTAGAAATTACATTGCGCGAGAGGTGCATGTATCAATAAGTTGAAAAAATTCGACGATGAGGTGTAGGACTCGGTAGCTCAATTGGTAGAGCAACAGCACGGAAAGCTGACGATGCCGGTTCATGTCCTGCCCGAGTCGAAAATTTTTTCAATTTATTTTCGATTTTTAAATTATATAGTGCCTTCATGTGCAATAACATGTGGAAAAAATATTAATGTTTTCAAGCTCTTTTTTTTGTAAATTCAATTGAATTTTGACGTGCTCGAAAACTTTATTATTTTTAGTAGAGCAACAGCACGGAACGCTGACGATGCCTTGTCGTGGGTTCGAAGCGCACTGGGTCCAACATTTTTTTTTAAATATACATTTTTTCTGAATCGTCTGGTAATCTCCATTCGATACTTCCGCCAGGCTCACGAATCACCGTCCACAGATGAAGAATGCGTGATGTTAAATCGTGTTTCGCTTTCATTCTGTGGATTTCGGAATATTCAAAGCCAGAAAGTCGTCAGCGCACCGTCATCGTCGTTGTTTAGATATTATAGGGCTAGATTATTTCACCTTCCATCAAAGGAACCCCATCTTTGTTTGTCATCCTTTCTCATAAAGAAAACATCGAAACTGATATACAAATGTGTCCAACCCCAGCTTCAAAAGGGGAAACAGGATTTCAATTTTATAACACAATATAACGCTATACGATTATTACCAACGATTTAAATATCACTCATGCTAGAGGTAGAGGTGCTGAGGTGCTATGGCCGCTATCAGACAGTCTGCACGTCTACTGTGTCACTTTGCGACAAGCAGATTACCCTGTCTGCGCGCTTCTCTTCTTCAGAAAATTCTCGCATTTACCCTTATTATATAATTTCGACACCAATTCTGTGAAACATTAGTCTGTAAAGTAATATATTATTATTAATTACTGTCTGAAATTTAGGCGAGTATTACACATTTCAATAAAACACTTTGACGCGAAATATATTGGTTAAACTTATTCACAGTTTTTTTAACTACTACTACTACTACGGGACTAAAAATGGAAGGTGTCCCTTATGGCAAAACAAAAACTAATAGGATATAGGACGAACCAGATGACGTATTTGGTCCATCGTAGTTAAAATAATTTGTAAATAACTAATACATTATGGTTTTAAACCGACTTAGATTAATTACTTACATCTTACTATACAGAAATTGTTACAAATAAGATGGATATTATAAAATTTTTCATTGTTTTGATTTCGACAAACATACTATTTTTTAACGTAAAAATTATATACACAATCTTCATTGAAATCGAATATATTCGTGAGATTTCTCAAAAAATAAATACATCAAACGAATCTTTATTACAAATACAATTTGAATATTTCTTTTTTTAAGATCGGCATAGAAGATCCGGCTCGCTCGACGAAGCCGCGGAAGACAGTAGCGACAATGGCGGTAGCACGCCAAAAAAGAAAACGGCCATCGAAGAACAATGGGAGAGGTCGGGAGGCTTCGAATTGACCTCGGTGGAACAGGAAACCTACGAAAAGTACTTCTACGGAACGGAACATTGGAATTACTTCACAAACGACGAAGACCTAGGTCCTGTGATATTGTCTATAAAACAAGAGACTCTCAACGCGAGGGATCAGTTTAGGTGAGTACCATATAGATAACATCAATATAGTCTAAGAGCCAAAGATTCTAGATGTACATTTACTCAAGCAGGGCGAATATCTATCGCCTAGTGAAAATTGAATAGATAAAACCGGCATTTTTCTGAAAACAAAAACACACTCAGCAGATCTTGATTATCTATGATATACCATGTCTATAATCCCAAGAACATACAAGCATTAACGGTAGTATATGTGGCAACATAAGCACTAAATATGCTACGAGATGTAGTAAATATCTTGTACTTAATTACTTTTATGATTTACTTTATTGTTTTTTTTCTTACTAGAACTCAAATTGTCAAGACGAAAGTTGGTTACTATAGATGGATCGATTATAAGTATTTTTACTATACTTATACGTTCATGTAACCCGCTGTAAATGTTTGTTAACAAAATATTGTAAATAGTTATCTATTGAGGTTGAGAAGTTCTACCGAGATTCCTTAGTATGTCTTTATGAATACCAGAGTAATACTTATTTTAAGTATAGTTCGTGAAGAACCAAAATTGTATCCAGATCACGAACGAATACACATATTAAACAGCCGTGAACACGTGTAATCATGTTTCCGTTTCCTGTATATCTAAAGACAAAATACCTAGGTCGACAGTGTAATTACATTATATGTCAATTTTACATCCAGTAAGCAAGCCTTGTGCTTTTTAATAAAACACTCGTGACGGCTTGATACGCGAAAAGTATTAGGTTAACTAAATTACTTATTATTATTTTAACTACGGCCCGACATTTTGTATGCTTTGCAACAATCGTGGTCACGGAGAGACTTAAAGATTGAGGGTGTCCCTAATGTCAAAAAAGTTCTACGTTAGCGCCATCTGTCCACAGTAATTAAAATAATTTATCAATAAGGGTTTTATTTAAATATGTACTACTCGAGTAAACTACAAAGCTTGTCTATTCCCCTCTTTCTTGAAATAATAAATTAACCCGAATTGTCTAAACCCGCAAACAATAGCAACATCAGTTTAATGAGAACAAATATGTATTAGCGATATTAGTATGCAAAGTTTTGAACTAAATCGATTAAATATCCAGTTAGGAATTGCCACTACCTCTAGAATGCTATGAATCTTGCCGTTTAGCTCAAGGCGAGAACGGAATTTAATCAAGTATATTTTAATTAAACGAATATAGCTCGTTTATTAAATGAATCGCGGTTAGGAATATTACAATACTGGAAATGCTGAGTTTTATTTTAACTTAGAACTATTTTAGTTTCTCGCTTTAGTCTATCGGGAGTTCTATGAACACAGAAGTGTTTTAACTCCTATATTTATTAGTTTATATGAATTAATGGTAAACAATTATAACGTTAGAGCCGAACGGAACGCTGTTGATGCCGGTTCAAGTCGCGCTCGATTATTTTTATTATTTTCAATTGAAATAAATTTTATTTTATTTTCTTTATTTAGGTTATTTATCTTACTTGTACGTTCTATTTTAAAGTATGATCCAAATTTATGCATTTTAATCTACTCAATATAAAGACTTAAAAGGAATTAAAAGATATCAGTAGTTTTTTCAATCTATAATAATAATTTATACTAATATATAAAGCTGACGACTTTTGTTTGTTTGTTTAAACGCGTTAATCTCGGGAACTACGGGTTGGAATTTAAAAAAAATTTATAGTAGTTAGAGCGTTTATTAAGGACGGCTATAAGCTATAAAACATTGCGCTGTGACAGCAGGAAATGTGGAAAAAATGGGGAAAATTATTGATCTCTATATGTTTCCGATACGTACGGTGCCAAAGCGGTTCAAGATAGCCAAAAAATATGTATGGAAGAATGATTTTTCTTTAAGTGATCTAAAAAAAAGTCCGCGACGCTATGTGTCTATCTTTTAAGATTACCTTGCAAGAACGACGGAAAGGGACGCAACCAACGACGTGGGTAACAGCTTAAGTTAATAAAGATGCAGGGGATTGCAAAAACTAATTTGGATGCTCTAAATAACGATTCTCGTGGACCAAGTCGCTGACACAGCTAGTATATACGTCTGTAATAATAGTATTTGTTGCGAATGTTACAGAAATATATCTTAAATATAAAAAAAAATCAATAAAAACTGTAACCATCCGTTTTTTAATAATAAAAAAAATATAGTACAATGTTATAACCGTAGAGTCAAAGTAGAGGATATTGTTTATACTAAGATAAAGTCAGACTTTGTATCTTCGTGTGTAATATACCCCAGTACTATAACATATAATTAAGATGTGTTCTGGCTTTCGTTAATCTACAATCTACTCTTATCGCAACTATTCTATTAACTCCTATATCTCGATGAACATGTTACAAAGACAATGCGATCGATCGTACCTAACCTATGTTGTATTCAGTCCCACGGCGTCTCTCACTCCTATCGTTTTAGGAGTTTTAATTTAGAGCGTAGCTGAATAATACTGGTATGCAAATTAGGGTGGGGCGTTTAATTAACTACCCTCACAATACAGTCGATTTGACTCTTCTATCGTAAACGCACAAAGCTTCATAAGATGTCGTTTACGTCATAAGCTCAAGGCGGGCAAACCTAAGTAAAATGTGTGTTATAAATGATCTGTTATTATTAAAATTAGTATATTTAATAAAACCCTTTTGAACAGTTTTAACCGCGAAATGTATAATTTAAATTTAACTAGTCCCCCCGCGAATGCTGCAATGCTGCTGAAACGTCGGGCGGTAGAAAAAATTAATGTTAAATAAGTTGATTAATAGATTTCGCGTTTTAAACCGTTAAACATGTTTTATTTAAATGTGTACCCGCGTAAATTGCAAACAAATCGGTTAGCTCCAAAATTACGCCACGACTGTATGGCAATTTCACAACTTAAATGTCACAACTGTTATTTTCAGGACTCTTATCCAATCTTAACGTCTACTCTAAGCACATCTTGTCTGTTTAACATCTGTTTATCTATCTTCCGTTTAACAAACTTTATATTTCAGTATCCCTTCTATTTGAAGGAAATAATCTTCCATACCGCTCCCTCTTATAACTCAGTTCGTTTTTACCGTAAAAATTCAATTAACGTAATGTAAGAGCGAAAAGGTGTAAACTTGGCAGTTTGGGTGCTCCATCAATTTTGTGACATAAGGTCCGTCCGTTTCATTTCCTACAGAAAATTTAATATTTTTGTTGACAATTGGAAATATGACGAAATCAACTTCAACGAATTTAATGTGTGTTTATTGTACATTATTAGTTATTTTAAATATATCTCGACGTTTTGATTGCTTTCAGCGACCCCTGAAAATATATTGCGTTTCGTTCCGTACATACAACTAACTCGGTTTTATTTTTACTTATAATAAAATTTAAATATTTGTAACACAATTTGACATTAAACAAAGATATATTATTTAAGCACGTCCTGGGTTCAATTCCCGGAAATAAAATCATAAAATATTTCGGTATATATATAAATATGAGTAAAATGATCACGGAGAAGTGGGATTTTTATTTTCTCTCTATAAGCGAGCCTAAATATATAAAAGAGTAACAATATCAATATTGTTCACTGAACGTAGAATATTGTATATTGAGTAAAGATTCTGAACACGAATACCAGTAACTTTTATGAAAACTAATTTACATATTTTACATCGTATATTCGCTTGTATATTTGAAGTTTTTGTACGTGCTCCGTCTTAATTTGACTTATTTGAGGTCGTTCAACTTTCTTCTACCATTCACATATACTATGTAAGCTTTCAAATAAACTCTTACCGTGGAAATATATATATAGTAAGAAAATAAACATATAAAATTTATAATATATAGCAGTAAGATTTTCGGGTAGAAGATTTTATTTTATTTACAAACTTCTCCACTTATACATATCTCAAAGGTCTTCTGAGGAGTAAGACATATCTTGTGTACACTGACTTGTTTAAGATGCTACACAGTTGACAGATTGTATCATCGACTTACTTTTTCATATTATCATGAAAGACTACATCAAGATTATTAACTTAAATTTAATCCTGCTTATCAAAAAAGTGTATAATCCTGTACCCCAGTAAGTGATGTTAAAAGACAAAATAATAATAATAATAATAATTTTGTTTCTCTAAGTTTTTTACCCAGAACCTCTTGAAGCAATGCAACTTATTATTATTATTAAATTATATTAACATCGAAATTTTATAAACCTTATTCGTAGGAAACGGTCGATTGTTTTATAAATTTCGAGGTCGTCTTAAAAATGCAAACTACATTTTAATATTGTCTCCCTTTGGATAGAGCGCTTTCAGATTCTTGACATGACATTACTTTCAGGTATTTTCATTACTCTGCGTCACAGGGAAACTAAAAAGGAGAGTTTAATTTGTGCTCTAGCAATTTCGTAAAAGCTGCATTCGAGTAAATTCTTTCTTTCTTACGTAGCGTGAGAAAAGATTTCTTTCAAAGAAAACTATGAAAGTTATCTTTATTCGTACACTAGCTGTGTCAACGACTTTGGCGGCGTGCAATTTTTGGCATCGAAATGTTTTTGTAAATCTTCTCTTTATCTTTATAAATTAAAGCTCCCGACGTCGGTCGGGTCCCGTCGTTCTTGCAAGTTAATCATAAAAGATAGAACGTATAGTACGGAGACATTTGAAGACAAATTGTTCTTATCTATAATTTCTCCTTTTTTCCACATCTCCCGCTGTTTCATCACTCCTATGAGAACACAACAAGAATTTTTCAATTCGAACCAGTAATTTCTAAGATAAGCGCATTGAAACAAACAAACCTTCAGCTTAATATATTAGTATAGATAGATATAACGGTATTATTAGAATAGATTAAAAGTTTAACCTGTTTTACTATTAAGATACATGGACAATTATTGATGAATTAGAAACAATGTGAATAATTCCGTCTTAATTGAACAAGCGGAGGCAAATAAAGTTCTAATTTGTTTCTTGTTTGTGGTCCGCAAAGTCAATATGAAAGCCAAGTTGCATTGAACTCGTAGCCCATACTTTGTTTACGTTCAATTTCCAATACATTAAAGTAACGTTTGATTAAATTACTTATAAGTGTTTGCAAGAAATTCTGCATAAAGGAAACGTAATAAAATACTAATTATAATTTGGATACATAGCTTATGATTTAACTATAAATATTTTAAGCTTACACATTCAGGCATAATAAAAAAAAATAAAAAAATACAAAAGGCTTTATTTCATCCGAAACGTCGGGCTGAAGTTAAAAATCATTTTCAAATAAGTTTAACTAATATATCGCGTTTTAAACCGTTAAAGTGTTTTATTTAAAAAGGCTTTATTTCCTTTAAATGACTTAATTTAGTTTGAGCTTGTATTATTTAAGTAGAAATATTATTTAAGATGGTTTAAAATTTTTCGACCTACACCTGAGAGAGGTTCCTAATGACATTGAGGCATAGAGAAATTTAATTAATTAAACTGTTTGTTAGCAGATAAGAACTATTCGAATTTTTTCTTGTGAACAATTCTTGAAACCGATATACATATAATATACATAAATATAAGGTCTGCTTTACATGCTTGTTTTATAAAATGTTGACCTAACATATAGATGTAAATATCATATAACTTATAAAATCTAAATACTATTTTAATAAGTGTATTTAGCGTTTTTACAACTTGCTGATGAAGAAATAGACTTCATTAGATTATACTTTGTGGAATGAGTAACCATATTTCCCAACAGATTATAAAAAAAACATTTTGCACGTCAGAACTACAGAACACGCTAATATTTCATGGCTACAGATTATACATCACTTTATGGGCTACCCAGAAATCTTGATTCTGAAAAATCAACTCGTTGAATCCTCTTTGGAAGTATTGTGCCGAACGAAATTTCAATCTATTCCACCCATCACTTTTTCCCTATTGGGTGGGTGAGCTTTACTTTGCCCCGTTGAAACAATTTATCACTTCGTCCCGGATTGAGGTACAATGCGACAAATAAACTCTTTCTCGAACTTTTGAATATAAATAAAGACACCAAGACAAAACTAACTGTAAGCATCGTTTACGCACGAACGATAGAGATGATTTCTTAAACACCAAAGTTCAACAGATTCACGGGTTTGAAATCGCGGTCTTTATAGAATTATTTAGTAATTTATAGAATTAGAAGAATTTAAAAATTATTAATGTAGTTCATAAACAACATTACAGAATTGTCTCCCTGTGACCACGGCTGCTGCAAAGCAACCGAAACTAATGTATAACGCGCTTTAAACCGTTAAAGTGTTCTCGTTAACTACAGACAGTATTTAACTTTACAGAAGTAAGATTTATAAGTTCGTATGTCATATTATGAAGTCTTAAATCTTTGTATATACATAGTAAAATCATAATTTTCTTCATTTTTATCAATATAATCTGTGTCTCTTATTGCTTCTCCAGATAATGGATATTAGTAATATGTCATAAGTCATAAGACACTAAGGCGGTCGGGAAGCCGGAAACCCATTCTTTCATTAAATCTTGAATAAGAACATCGAACTACATATATATAATGACTCATATTGACAACAAATTGTGAAAATAGTATGATATTTTATATAGTTTTGTTTGTTTTTGTTACTTTAAACATTACAGCGTTCGCCACCTAGAAGGGCGTAATCAAAAGAACATTTGTGGTGTCTGTCTGTAGATCTCCGAAAATCCAAAGCCAAAATAGCTCAGCCAAAAACGTTAAATACCTACTTAGACTAACTAAGAAATATTTTCAGGATTTTAGTTCGAGCGATAAGCTACACAGTACACGGTTTGATCCCGGCGTCCTGTGTGTTTGCCGACCGTTACAATCGCGAGGAGGTAGTGAGATCACTCGGCAAAGAGGTGAACATCAACCCTCCTCTTATGCTGGGACAGCTGCCTGACACACCTGAAGAATTGTTGAAACTCGATCAGGTAAGACTACTGTGTTACCATCGCTATAAATGTATTTACTATTAAGCATATACCTACGTCCCTTGTAGAACAAACGCTTAGCATATAGTTAAGTGCTCGAATTACTGGAGAAATGAAGAACTGTGATTGCTCATCTCACTGCTCACATTTTTTATAATAGAGGAGAACATACAATCAAAACACACGCTTGATGGAAAGTCAAATATCCCAGCTATATATCATCTAAGCAAGAAGCACTGTCGACCTATATTTTTGTACATAAAAATCCGATTAAACTTCACGGTTTTTTACACCTGTAGTCAGTGGTTCGTGGTGGTGGTCCGGAAGAAATTTAGATATTCTTACCTCTAATTTAATATAAAAAATGCCGAACAAAGTCAAAATTGTTTCAGAAAAATAAAAAATAAACACATATTATAACAAACAACTCTGCGATGTCTGTACTTGCAAAATCGTATTGGTTGTATAATAACTGTGCCGGTGACATCCGCATATAATAATTATTTTGGTCATAAAAATTTATTTTTCCTTTCTCATCTTTATATATAGACGATACTCACTACGTCGCATCCCGTCTTTCTTGCGAGTTAATATTAAAAGATAGACATATACTGCCAAGGGTACTTTTTTCTATCATTTAAAGAGAAATCATTCTTTCCTAGATGATCGTTGGGTATCTTTAACCGTTTTCGCAGCGGACGCAACGGTAATCTTTAAAGACGAATAAATTTCCCCGTTTATTCCTCATTTTCCACTGTATTTTCGCTTCTATTGTTTTCACATCATGATGTTTTATAGCCGTTCTCGATAAATGCTCGAACACAATAATTAATAACAATATTTGTTCAATTCCAACCATTACTTTCAAAGATCTAAGGGAACGAGAAAACTCTTCAGCTTTGCATATTAGCATAGATTAGAAATAAAGAATACAATAAAGGTATTAAACCAACATAAAAAGCACTTTTCACCCTGGAAAATCCTGTATTTCCATTAACCCTTAATCCTAAATAAATTAGTGCAAGTGCTACGCCGCGATTGTTTTTTGACTTCCAAATCACCTAATAAACATCGTTCTCCGTGAAACATTAATGAGAACCGTTAAGAGGCCGTAAAGCCCCAAAACGACGCCTTCTGACCCCCCACTAACACTAATGAACAAATGACAAGTTTTAAACTAGAGACACGTGGCGCCGACTCAGAACTCCACAGTTAGTATATTACAAGTTTCCTTTGAGGAATGTAACTTTATTACCGCCTAAGTTCGCCTCAAAGTGTAATTAATTCTCATTTGTTGGTGTCGAGCAGTGTATCATATTTTAAAATATACAAATTATCATATTTTGACGGTCTCACTGTTGTAGTTGTAGAAATGTATGACTAATAATCAACGGGTCGAGACCCAACATTTTTTAAACATCTTGGACTTTATCTGGAAATTTGGATACAAATATCGAAATTCCTTCTGATTCACTAATCACTGACCACAGATGAAAAAGCTGTAAAGTTTAATCACGCTTCGGTTTTAGTCTGTGGATTTTCGCACATCCAAAACCAAAATTAGTTGATAGCACATTTCGTTTTCATGTCATATGTTAGGGGTATCTATTATCAACATTAAATAAACGCCATGTTTGTCCTCTATCTTAAAGAATCTAAACGAATAATTCTGTATATATCTAAATAAATAGGTATGTTTAAAAAGAGATAACATATTCAAAGTTAAATGAATCTGTTTTGGTTTTAAATTCTTAAATTGCAAAAACATCTCTAACCCTTTTAACTCCTTCCATATCATTAACAATCGTAACTCTAGTTATAACTAGAAATAAGAATGGTAATATCCATAAGTATCGGAAAACATTTCGAAATACCAGACCTAAAATATTCCAGACCGATTTGTACTCTATATGAATAAAATAGGGGATATTCTCGCTCCCTGCATAACTCCATTGTTTGAGGCGAGTTTGTTCGATCCAGTGAACTGCCAATTTTCATTAAGCCTCGCCAGAGGTGCGCGTATAAGTCAGAACTTTGAGAGCCGTCCGTCCTTTACATTTTGTATTTACTGAAATGCCGGCTCTCATGAATACAAGGGATCGGGTTTACATGCGAGATGTTATCTCTGAATACAGTATTGAAACTGTACATTCGTGAATTTAAATCGGTGCTTCTGTTAATTAAGCGCGGAATACAAAGGCAGAACGACATATCCGATACAGTAATTATTATCAACTAGCTGTGCTCGCGACTTCGTCCGCGTGGAATAGTTTTGCCATCAAAATTTGCTCTTGCAAACCTTCTCCTAATCTTTATCAATTATAGCAGTTACCTACGACGTCGTCCACGTCCTGTCGCGTCGTTCTTGTGAGTCAATCTTAAAAGGTAGATATACTGTCGCGGACATTTTCTTAGACCATTTAAAAAGGAATCATTCTTTCATACATATTTTTTGGGTCTCGTAAACCGTTTTCGCAATTGGAAGCGCTCAAGTTGTATAATTTTTCCCGTTTTTCCATATTTTCCTAATAGCCAAATACCTTTTGTTGTTAAATGTCCAACCAATACAAAATATTTTCTAAATTTGAACCAGTGGTTCCGGAGATAAGCACGTTCATATGTACATATACCAAAAAGATAAGTTGAAGATTATTTATATTTACTTTACGCTACACTGATAAAAGTGAAATAGCTGCGTGACATGCTAAAATAGTTAATGTCAGAACAATACTGTTTAGCAAGCCGAATCTCGTATTATAAGATCGAATATATCGTCATGAAATTAGTACAATCGGCCGGCTGTTCTCTTTTAATAATAAATTTAATTTTCATCATTTGTCATTGTGTATTTGTTACTACATAGGAGTAAGTATTTATCGTAAAAATATAGATAAGGCTGTAACAAATTGTATATTATTGTTTATAAAAATATCGTTTAATAAGAAATAAACCTTTACTCATCTCGTCGTCATCCAGGTCACAATTCAGGTCCAGACATCCAGGTATCCAATGTAAAAGTTTTTTGAGAAATGTGATATTAATTTTTCCCCCTAATATTAACAGAGTCCATTTTCATCTCACAAAGAAACCGACAAAAATTGTATGTGACAAATGATGGAAGGCTTGTTTTCTTTTGCGTAAAATGGCTTTCCAGGAACTTCGAGCATTGACTCGAGCGAGTAATTTGATTCCGAAAGTTAAGTTTTCCGAGGAAAGTCGTGTTCCATATATTTTCCGGAGATTATAGCTCGTGACGTAATGAAGTTAGAAATCCAATTCCATTACATCATGTAATGAGCTAGAAGTCTACAAATGCTTGTGGTTTTTCTGATTATATATTAATGTCGAGATGCCTCACTACTTGATTACAACGTGCTGTTAGGGTTAATCAAGGTCAGATTCGTAAAAACTGAAATTCGAGCGGATGGTAATATATCCGAATGAGAATCGACTTTATACGTAGCCTTCCGACGTAGAAAACGAAAAGTTGGATGTTTTGATAAACATTCACAATAAACTTCGAATACGATCATAATATTATAATGAAACGCCCTGAAATCTAGTATATACTAGACTTCAGGGCGATATAAACATATTCATTTTACATCCGTTACGTTCGCATTGATTTATTTTAAATAAGTTTTTTTGTAGTAATATCAAAAGCAACATTTGGTTTTAATCTGGTTAGTTATAGCCGAATCCGACATTTTTATATGTTTACCACATAAAACATAGAAAATAGAATACACTTTTTTTCGTTGAATTAATATGCTAAAATTTCAATTAAATCCCTTATTCTTCTTACTGTACTTACTTGTCATAATTAAGAACTGTGTTTTTCCACCGAAGGAATAAATTCATACAAATGTTGATAAAACAGATTGTATATCGTAGGTTTTTCGAAAATTAATCTATATATATCAAAAGTCTATTCAATATCGAATGAACCTTTACCGAGCGGAAACCTGTCTCAATTTATTATTGACAGATTCTCGACTAGCATTGCTTTGATTCGACCTCAGACGCCGTTATCATTTTATATTTCCTCCTCTGTATTTCTGTTACGTCCTTCACTTTTTCTGTCAGCTTAAAAAGTTATATTAATCTTATCTTCATTTAATTTTCCCTTGACCGAACAAATCTAGGTCTAAATTGTATATTATATTGTATATACATATTATGTAAGTTGGCTTTTAAGAATTAAATAAAATTTTAGACCTTTCTTTCAATTCCTTTATTTCTATGAACATAGTTTTAGCGAAATTACGAGATAAAGTACACATCTATATATAATTATAGTATAAGGAATAATAATAGTAAAATTATATTAATGTATATATTTAAATAAAACACTTTCACGGTTTAAAACGCGATTTATTTAAGTTAAACTTGTTTGAAAATTATTTTTTACCACTCGCGTAAACTACAGACAGTATTTAAATTTATTTATATATATAATCACTATTTTTTTACTTACAAACAACCTTTTTTAGGTGTATGAAATTACTACTAATATATAGTCTTATATGTATATTTATCGCTTAAACGTGAAGCAAGTACATCTAATCAAATAATAAAATGGACATAAAAAGTGGACCGGGGCAAAGAAATATGTGTGCTTTATTAGGTAGAAGAGTCGTAAAATGTACTCTCATCAGACGATAGTAAACCAGTCTCAAGTGTTTTTATATTGTATTATATCGAATATTGACCGTTGACCTATGTTATTATTCAGACATGGATGTAGTACCTATAATAAAATTTCTGAGTTTAATTATACATTTGTGACTGTCTTTAACGGAAAACCTACCATTTCTTACGTGTGTGGCATCGTGCGCATAAACACATTTCTGTGTCTAATCAATTACTTTCCTTATTGTCTTGACCGAAACAACTTATTGCTTTCCTCGGATTCAAACCCACGAACCCGCGTTCTTAATGGAATTTAATTTATTATAACTACGCCCCAACGTTTCGGATGTTTCGTAGCAACCATGAAATTCGTAGCAAATTAACTCAAATTACTATGATCATTATAAATTTAAAGCCAATTTGATTTTAAGGACCCTCCATATTTCAGCTTAGTTTAAGTCTTAGAAATAACTTTGTAGGTACTGAATATTAATTACTAAGGTCTTAGTTAGTATTAAACAAATATCTAGATTCGCTAATTCTTATCGTCAAGGGGTTGATAATTTTGAATAAATAATACCTATGATTAATTTAGATCTCGATTAAATAGAAAAAGAAGAAAAAATAATTAACAAAAAAAGACTATGAACGCCTAAAAAATATATAAGAATACTGTATTAGTAGTAGTTCAAAGTTTTAGACCAATTATAATAAAAAATATACGAACCAAACCCTAAACCACATTTACAATGTTATGGAGTCAACGGAATAGAATAATGAAGTATGTCTCTAGAGAGAAAACCTTGTTTAAACGGCTTATACAAGAGATCAAACTCGGAAATAGATTGGCTCCTTGTTCGTAATTTTCTGATAAATTAGCTACAATGTCTTCATCAGAGAAAATAATGATAAACATAAGAGCTTAAAAGATATTTATACCCTGTACTTACCTACACAGGAAATAATAAAAGTCGATAGCATACATTTACCACAAATAAACTATTTATGATTTTATCAATACAAAAGTATCTTAGCTACGGTAAATATCTAAAGTAATATTATAAAGCTCGAAATGAGAAATTCTTTTTTTGGTCAACTGCGTAGGCGCTGATGACGTCATCGACCAGTTCTTAATAATAAATTATGTGTACATCTGTAAAATACAAAAGATGTCGCTTATGGTTTAAAATGTATTATATAAGTTATTAATTTGCCACCCAATCATTTAGTAGATAAATAAAACGATCTAATTAAACAATTCCAGGTGTTCATCAAGTCGGAATTAAAAGTTGGAGTTATATACGTCAAAGAGAATCAGTACACTGAAGAAGAGATTTTAGATAACAATGAAAATTCACCGCTATTCGAAGAATTCCTTCAAGTTATGGGCGAAAAGGTGCGGCTCAAAGGTATGCTGTGTATATTTCCTTTTTTCTTGGAATTCTTGGATGTTTATTCCTGATAAAATCTTTAGACCAATTGTTTAGAAGTTTAAAGATCTAGATTCCTTAAGATAAGTTTATATCGGTATCTGTACTTATATAAAGCTGAAGAGTTTGTTTGTACGTGAGAATCTCAGGAACTGGTTAGAATTGAAAGCTTTGTTTTTTTTTGGTTATAGCGGTTTTTTTTTTGAGGAAGGGTATAGGCTATAAACATAGCGCTGTAACTAATAGAAGCGAAGAAACAGCGGGAAACGTGAAAAACGGGGAAATACATCTTTGTGGGTTTCCCTTGCGTACACAACGAAAACAGATATCCGAAAAATAGATATCCAAAAATATATGTAAGAAAAAAATCACTTCTCGTTAAATAATCTAAAAAATGTCCGCGACACTGTAGTCGCGGACATTTTTTAGATTATCCTTAGATTAACTTGGAAGAACGACCGGACGCGACTGACGTCGTGGATAACAGCTTAAATTTATAAATATGAAGACGAGGTTTAGAAAAAAAAATTCGAGGTTCAAAATAACTATTCTACGCGGACGAAGTAGCTGACACCGCTTGTTCTTATATAATTTTGAAATACTTTTTCAGGTTTCGATAGATATAAAGGCGGTTTAGATACAGTACACGACCTGACCGGATTATACTCTGTATATACAAACTGGAGAAGCATAGAGATCATGTTTCATGTATCCACACTGCTTCCCTACGAGAGACACGACCCGCAAAAGCTACAGAGGAAACGGCATATAGGCAACGATATAGTCTGCGTAGTGTTCCTCGAAGCTGATAATACAGCCTTTTCGCCGGCTTGCATCAAAAGCCACTTTTTGCACACCTTTATTTTGGGTACGTGACAAAATTTTTTTTAATCGTCATAGACAATCATTGTCTGTAGCATACGCGAGTACTACATATTTAAACAAAGCATTTCCATTCGCCTCGATCTGACGTTTTTATGATAGAGTAGGGCAGACAAACATAGGATACACCTGATGGTAGATGAAATACTCCATCTATATAACATTCGGAATTCCACAGACTGAAACCAAAACGCCATAAAACTTCACGGCTTTTTTATCTGTGGCAGTTATTCGTGACCCGGACGGAATTTCGATATTCCTATCATTTAGAATAACACTTAGAATTCCCGACGAAGTGCAATATGTTTCAGAAAAATTATAAACTTATAAAAAAAATGTTGGATCAAGTAGGGATACCTAGTTAATTAGTAGCCATATATTGCTTCCTTTACACGTGCCCGTTTTATTTAATTTTTGTTAAAGATACGAACTACTTCCGAGGCCGTAGTTCCTTATTATAAGAAAAATTTATCTTGTATTTTCTATTTTTGCGAATTTTGAATCATAACATTTTCTCATTCAAGTGACACTTAACCCTTTTCAGTGAGGGTATCCGCGAAAATCAAAAGGCGCCCAACGAGGTATGAAGTGTCGGTCGTGACCCGAGATGAGGTTGGCGCCTACAAGCCTTACTTATGGGAGCAGAGTGTCTTCGACAAAGGACCCATGTTCCGGTACGTGAAAATGCTTTCATTTAAATCCGTTACATGCATAACCATATTGGTTTCTTTTTTGAAGTCATAGCTCTTTGTTTAAATTAGTTTCTTACCGTTCGCTATCTATAGTAAATATAGAGGTAGGGTAACCTAACTGCAATTTTATGACTTGACTTATTTATATTTCATAGTCTAAAAATGTTAATCTACAGGTTGACCGAAAGTTGTTAACATAAATCTTACACAAATAATAGTACAAATTTATTTTTACCTAAATTTGATATTAGGCCACTCTGCCTCTAGCAGCCTTATATGTAGTTTATTTTTAATTAGTTTTATTAATATTATCTGTCAGGAATCCGGAGACTGGTATTTATCGTATCGGTTTAAATTCACTTGAGTACTTTTTTAAAACGACCTCAATTCATAAGCGTTGACCTATTTTTGAAAATATGTAAATTTACACCGGTCCGTCTACACTTGTGTGTGCTGAATATTATTTTACATGCTTTTAGGGAATGGTTGTTAACAAAAATTGTGAATGGTGAACGAGCATCTTATTCAGCTCCAAAGTTCGCAAGGATGCAAGAACGCACTCGAAGCCAAATGTTAGAGGATATTGTTGCTAATCTGCAGAACCACGCTGAAACAGGACAGATACCCAAACCTTATCGACGAGGTAAGTGAAAGAACATTTTTTCTACAATTGCTATATTAGAATTTATAATTAAAATAGATATATACAAAGACTGTCTGTAGTACGCGAGTAGTACACATTTAAATAAAACACTTTAACGGTTTAAAGCGCGATATAATTAAAACTCGTATATAACTTAAACGGGGAGACAATGAAACGTTAAAATAATTTCAAATAAGTTTAACTAATATATATCGCGTTTTAATCCGTTAGGATTTTATTTGAATAGAAATATACAAATAAAAATGTTTTCAGGATCATGGCGACCGATCGGCCACATGCGTCCATCATCACCTCTACTTGACTCCGTACGAGACCAATTTGAAGACTACGACCAATTAGCTAAAGACTTCACAAGAGTTTTCCTTAATAATGAGCTAAACACTGCACAAAACGCACAATTATTCGATGTTGTTTTTCTAGTTGGACAGTCAAAACAAAAAACTCGCTTTATTGGCGTAAGAGCGATATTGGGTGTAAGGAGTAGGTAAGACTTATATTACAGTTTTAGGTACAAGATTATAAATTTATATATTAGGTAATCATAACTTGTGCGATGACTCCACAAGTAATATCCAACAACATTTTCGTATTTCAGGGTATTTCAAGAGATGTTATATGGTATCCAAACGGGATTTGGTTCACCTCAAGTGCCGGTTGCAGAGTTGTTAGCCCGACCTGCACCAACACTGTTGTCTCCAACACCAGCGAAGCAAAAAAGCAGTAATTTCCTTCAAGTGCCAGATATAGAATCTCCGAGGTATCATTGCATTTTAAATTTTATCTACTAATGTCTGATGAAGTTTCAGGAATTACTAGTTATTATTGTGTCATTCCAGGCCCAAAAGTGTACCCAGTTCACCAATGGTGAAACGAGCCTTTTCTCGTTTAGGAACTATTACTGCTGGTTGGGGACGATCGATACGAAAACAGCATTCGCACCTCAACGCAGACGACAAGAAGAAATGGGCTAGTTCACAGGATTGTTCCAGTAAGTAACAATTCAATTAGAAAAGTATATTAGAAATATTATCTTCAAAATACAAAAATATATTTGTTTTGTAGATAAAGAAAGTAAAGAGAAGGAAAAGGAGAAAAACGCTTCGCTGGCCGTACCAAGATTGTCGGTGTGTGCTGATGCCCAGAAAGTTGATCGCGCTAAACTAGCACAAACCGAGGTTTGTATTTAACCAAACTGAAGGGACCAGTCGTTACTCAGTCAATATTTTCTAATTGGTCAAATTCTTTTCAGTTCTCAATAATCGAATTTGATCCGGAGACATTTCGTATACTCCTAGACTACTTGCATACGGGTAGTTGTCCTCTCACATGCGCGTCCATACCAGGCCTCATATGTGCAGCGGAACATTATGATTTACCCGAGCTTCTACAAGCCTGCTTCCATCACGCCAAACAATTTTTAAGGATAGAAGTGGTAAGACTTTGGCCATCAACATACGTGCTACTTTGATTGCTTTGACTATAATAATTGTTAATGCTTTTAGGTGTGTACGATGTTAATATCGCTCGAGAACTACTACTGGCGATACACCTCGGCCTCAGAACTCGTGAATATGATTCTTGCATTCATCGAGCAACGAGCCTACGCACTGTTCCAAACAGCCGAATTCCTAAATCTCTCTGAATCGATGGTTCAAATGATCATGTGTAGAAATCTCGAAGTGCCCGAGGTGAGAAAATTCGAAGCGATGCTCAGTTGGGCGAAGAACAAAATCAAGTCCAAATCTGCAAATAAGACTGACGCCAAGAATGAATTTAAGTGTATCATGGAAAGGCTGGCGAGAGATCTGAAACTGTACCGAATATCACCTCAAGAGTTGATAAAAGTGGTGCTCCCCTCGAAAGCCATTAAGAACGAACGCATTCTAGAAACCCTCATGTACCAGGCCAACTCTGGAATGTACAGGATCCAAGAAGATTACATTGAGGCTTGTCAACAGCGTATTCAAAAGCAAGATTCTAGATTTTCCGAATTCGAAAGTTTTGACTATGGCATATAAACTTGGAGCTGTGAGGAATATCAGTGTATTAGTTAGTGTAGGAACTGTTTGGACCGCGTTCTTCTCATTGTGGTATGTTAACGCCTTCTAAAAGTATTATTGTTGTAGATGTACTTTAGTAGGGGAGCGAGAAATAATTGTACACTTCTCGAATACCTAATCCTTGTTGTTGTTCATTGATACCTATATATTTTATACATCTAGCTAGACGTGTTCAGTATATCATCTCTATTTTTGGTACCAAAAAAATTTGGCAAAATAAATAGCTATTGTATAATGATAATATCGAAACACATTAAACAATGAGTACAAAGTCATGAAAACTTCAACACTATCACGATAAAGACATTAGGGGCTTACCTTCGTATGTTTTAACGATCCTCTTAACCTTGAAACTATCCGCCCTCACAGTTAACTAATGTTGGAATGATTTTGCTCATATTATGAAGTAAGATTATTATTGTCCCATTTATTGCAATCGATTAGATTAGTCCCAGAGCAATCCATATACCTAATGTTAAATGTGTTAGAAATACAAAGTGACTGAACCTTAAATTGAACAAAAATAATATGAGAATTCTAAATGTTAGACGTTAATATATTTATGAGAATTGGAAGAAATATAATACCTTATCTTAACAAATTATTATGTAAAAATTATATGACTATATGCAACGTAAAATTTATAAAAGAATCTGTTTATGTTGGTGTAGATGATTGTAGTAGACCTTCTCTCTATCTTCCTTGTAGAGTCCTGTCCTAACATGTTATCTACTGTCAAAACAAATCTATTATCAGTTATAAGGTAACTATGAGTAGATTTTATACCTACTAATATTTACCAATAATTCAAGCTTTAAATTCTATACCTTTGTGTGCCTACTCTGTATGTATATATTGTCTATATATGTCTCAGTTAACATATTAAGCTTGTTTTTTCTTTCACCTAAGTACTCTTTCCTATGTAATGTGGAAAACATGAAATTTTATAAAACTGATTTCAAACTTCAAACCAACTCCTAATAAGTAGGACACTATAATACAAGTTGGTAATATTATTGACTATCATTTTATTTTATTTAAATGTTACAATCATTATTAATGTCAAGTGAGTACTGATAATTATCATAGAAATGTTCTAAATTTTCATTTTGAAGAAAGTTAATATGTACAGTGGGTATTGAGAGATACATTGTGAAAAAATATTTTTTACTGAAATAACAAAAAATTTCTATTATTGACATTTAGCTACCATGCTTAAATGGTGGCTTAAATATCCCAAATAGTTACAAGAACTACACACTTAATATTGAGAATAATATTGTATTTGAAATACATAAAATGTAGTTATAACATATCGCTGTGAGTTACCTCAATATTGCTATGTTTAATTAAACAGCGACAAAAGATCTCCATTATAATTCTTTCTACATTTCAACATAAACATATTGTATATCTATGTAAACAGAATCCTAAAGAATGTAATTAATTGTATAAAATTGTAATTTTTATACATGAATACTTTATAAAATTTCCTCCTTTCTCTATTTAATTCTTTTGTCAATTGTCTAAAACCTTGAACGGGTTACCTATTTCATACAGAAAATATTCATTTTCCAAATTTGTATGTTCAAAAACTGTATCTTACATTGAACCACTTTCTTTCAACTATTTACTCTATAATACTCATGAAATGTATAAAAAAATAAGATTATTTTACATATAAACACCAGTATTTACATAGAAAATATTTGTGTCAAACTCTTATTACATAAGTTTTCTATTCCAAAATTTTAACCTTCCTGTGATTGTGAATGTTGCTAAATTGATGTACGAAGACATTCAGGATCTTCGGAATATGACACAAACGTAATAAATGATTAAAGTATCAATAATATAAACTGTTATTTTGCATGAGCAAGAACATCTATTTATTGAAATTTTATGTGGTAAATAAACTTTTTGTGTATGACTCATTATTTTCGTATATCGCCGTCCTGTATAGCCATTATATTCGTACCCACGATTAATAAATTTAAAAAATGTAAACAAGAGACAATTAATAGTAACAAGAAAAAATTAAAATAAATATCACTGAACTAAGTATTGTATGGTACTGTAAATATTAAATATTCCCTTGGAAGTTTTGACAACTGACAAATCTTCAAGATTATTGTCTACTCCAATGCTATATGCCTACCCTAGTAGCTCTACTCTATGGTTGTACTCAAACTCAACTGTATCAAGTAGTAAAAATCAAAATAAATGAATAGAGCGCCCTTCCCGATAAATCCAAATTAAAATATTTGTAAGCTTTCCATTTTGTTTCTTATTCCATTGTTTATCATTTTTAACATAATATAGCGCAGCACTGTATCTATGTTGCATTTAGTCAATCGTCAAAAATTACAAAACACTGTAGTTGACAGCTACTATATTGCCAGCAATAATATTTCCTTATTATAAAACTTCAACATTATATAACCGTGAATCTGAACGTAATCCGAAGTTCGTAACACCGCCGCAGATTAGAGGGTAGCGCTTGTGTGCAACTTGCCAGTGTTCTCGCAGCAGGCGTGTTGCCGGCTGCTTGTTGCAGTGCGCGGTGCGAACATAACACACGAGTTCGCGGTCCTAGGCTCGAACGAACATCGAAACCGACGGTCAGTGCGGTGACCATGATGATGGATAACGGGGTGATGACAAATAACTATGACGGGAGTTATGGGGACGGGTATATGGAACAAGAGGAGGAGTGGGAGCGTGAGGGTCTCTTAGACCCGGCATGGGAGAAACAACAGAAAAAGGTCAGTTCAAGCACCAAGTTCACACACTAAATAATAATGGGACTTTGGAAAAGTGACATCACAAAATTGTACGCGCATATTAAATAAAATAGCCTCGTTATCGCTTTCATGACTCACGATGATGGTGTTTATGTTTTCAATTTGATTTCAGTTAGTATTGGTTTTCAAAGTTTTACCTACATGTTATGCGAATCTACAGGTGTTATTCGATACGCGATTAGATTCAGTAAAACGAGGTAAAAAGAACTAAAACAATATTTTTCATGTCAAGCACTAAATGCCAATACCTAAAAATAAATAATATTGATACAAATATACATATAGTGTAAAATAGTCGTTTCTAGTTTGTAATAACAGTTAATTAATTAAGACGATCAACGGCAATACGAATATTTGAATTTTCAAATTCGAACTTGTTTCTTTCCCGCCGTAAGTTGAAAGTAGATCGCGGCCGTGGACACTATTAAAAGATTTCTTGGAGCTTTTCGTGCGAGCGAGACGCGCGCACACTGTCACGCCACGAGCGGGAGCGGGGCCGAGCGAGAGGAATCGAATTTCGGTTAGTCATGTCCTAAAATGGGTCCGGCGCAGGCGCCGCTGAAAGCGCGGGCGTCCGTCTTTACGTCACTCCGAAACCCGCATTTCAGGAAATCATCAGGCCCACCTTATCTACGTAAAATGCATCTCAAAGGGATGCTATTTATGTGGTGGTCAGTAGATCCGTGACGAACGCTCTGACGCAGCTCATGAGCTCAGTTCAAGAGGAATGTCATTAGCGAGTTATGAAAGCAGTCACCCGGGCCTTGCTACAAATATATTACGTACACGTATAGTATGTTTATACCATGTTAAAAAAGTCCTACTTAAAGGAATGTCAACTATTACTTATGCATATAATTTATTTTGTATTAAGACGCTTTAAAGCTCTGAATTCAAATCCCTAATCGTTATTTGCAATTCAAAACAAAAATCTTGGAAATGGTTTTATGTTTGCAATATTGCAAGACTTAAAACGACATCTCCGTTCAAGTCACTGCGTGTAAAAAAACTAGAAGGTAATTCTTAAGACAGTTAACTCGGTCCTTATAACATCTGTGATTACCGCACGTTACAAGAACCTCATTACAAGACGATTTTATCATTGATTTCGCATCAGCACACCGTACGATCTATTAAGTTTTTGTGTGAGCGTAATTATAGTGATGTCTTGCGCAGAACAACCCTATTATAAACAAAGAGGCTGCACCGACCGGTGCATCGGCCGTAAGGAGGGTCAATGTCGCGGCCTGCCTCGAGATGCCTGCGAAAAACCCACCCGACCACTCGTGAACTTAACACGAGAATCACCCGAAAGGGGGTCACTAGTACGATAATTTACAAGGAAAACGTGACGCACCTACGGAATTCTGATTCATTAAACAATCGAAAATTTACGGGGTCAAGTGATTTCATAAAATTCCAATAATTTTTTTACCTTTCTGCTATTTCCTGTTTAAGATGTATGTTGTTACGAAACCAATTAAGTCGCTGTTTTTTTTTTACTGATTGATATTATAAAATAAAATACAATCGCATTTTGTGATACCTAAATTTAACCGTGAAAGCGTCCAGGGTCTTTGTAGACATTTGTAGACCTTTTTTAAGTAAAGCGACTTTCTACTAGTGACACCTAAATTAATAATTTTAAACATCATTCGAGATCGCTGTGATCTACTTTACAGATTGTAAATGTTTGCTGTACTTGATTTCATTTTAATTTCAAGCTTTATTATGATTTTAATTGCTCATCTATTCATTGACTCCCAATTGGTTTATGCTATTATAATAAACAACTGCTTACAAGTTGACCTCTAACGTTTGTAATATATTAACTTGTTCAATATCTCTTTTTTCTATCCAAGCCCGTTACGTTGTATTACCTAATACAAGTAATTACAGTGGACAGTCTAGAACTGTTACAGTACAAAAAACGAGAAGTAAATCTCATTGAAGCGGTAAAACAACTTGAGGGTTTCCAGTTAATTCCCGTTGGCCTAGAAAGTTGACACCAAGTTAAAGTATATTGAAGATGGAATGAGATAACGGTGCCTGATATATGATGCTCTTGCGAATCCATCAAGCTGCAGTGGGCAAAAGTCATTACAAATACCAAAAGGCAAAAATAAACGTAACAATTCCACATGTCAATCGTTTCGGGTCATAAATATAATCTCGACATGCATTTTTGCTGCCACCTAATGGAAGAATTATCGGTGTGCATGCCTTTCTTATAATTCTTACAATTTCGGGGTCATTGCCTGACAGTATTAAACAGACTCTTGTTAAATAAACACTCGATTGTAGCGTGGCTGGCAAATATTTAGTTTATATGCATACCTTTGTACCTTTGTAGGTATTGTGAAGCCACTGCAATTATTTTTCAAAAGAATAAACAGCGTTCTGTACACGACGAATGCGGGGTTACGTAATATTCGACATAGCAGGCTATTTTTTCCGTTACCCAGTTTTTGGCTGACGTCCAAAATAGAAACCGTTGAAACTACTGTCTACTGTCCATCACCTTTTGACGAACAAATTGCATAAAAATAACCTTTTAATTAATGGGTTGACTTCAAAAAAATCTAGGTTTTTTTATATATATTCGTTTACTTTTTTTCTTTATACATTTCGCCTACTATATAACTATACTCTAAATTAACTAATTAACTTCCGCACTAAAATGTCGCGCCCCGGGACTGATGAAAGATCTTTCATTATTTCCTTACACTTGTCGTAGCTACTTTATTAGCTACATTATCTTTAAGATACAATCAATATCAGATATACAGATGATAAATTTTAAAATTGTCTATGACTCAGGAATTGTTTTTCGTGGCTATTCCTATTTCAAAATATAGATTATGTTGAACCTAACCTCTATCGATTTACAGATTAAAAAGCATAATATTTATAACAAAGCCAGACTGGCCACACATAACATGGTTCAATGTTTACCAAAGTATCTATATCGTTTCCCGCCCACACTCCAATCGTGTTGTTGAACTACGGGACAGATAAGATACAAATAAGAAAGGAGGTTCTGTTTTATTGTCGTTATTTTCAACGAGCTCCGTACTCTTTAGTAGTTAAGTGGACGAAGCATACGAAATACGTGCAAGATAAATTTATTTAGAGGCTTATTCTGGAAACTTAACTTCTAAACTCGGGTAAACTTGATAAAGTATATCATTTAGCCAGGACATGGAAACTTCATCACATCAAAGAGGATATTTGTTATTGTTGTCATTAGGGTAACATAAATGCTTCAATACTGTATCTCGAATCTACGCAACGTCGAATTGTAGCCTATTCAGTGACAATAATTTTTGCGCTTTAAACTGTCAGAAAAATGATATTTTCTGATGTTACGAAACGTAATTTTTAAACTCCCAAGTAGCAACTAGGTACTATCGGTGTTTTAAATGGATTTTTAGAGTTGTGGACATTAACAGTTAATTTTATGGGTAATAAAACGACCTTGGACACTGAACTGCTAGACACGAATTAAAATTAACCTAATGGATATAAACTTTCGAAACGTGCTCTATCTGTTACTAGTTCCGTTTGTCACGTTATTACTTCACGGTGACTCAAAAGTAAAATGAAAATAACATTCCTTTAATTGTGCAATTAAAACATTTCTCTGCTTAATATTCTTATTGTGAAAGTTACTTGCATTTTCAATTTTGGTATTACTAACGAAATACTAGAGGATTGAAGATCTAATATTTAAGTATTCTCTTAAGTAGTTTACACGAGTAGTACACATTAATTTAAATCACTTTTAACGGTTTAAAACGCGAAATATATTTCTCCATTTAACATTAGATTCTTCGAAGCGTAATTAAGAGAAGTAAGTTATTTCGAGTTGTAAACCGTTAAGTGTGTTATTTAAATGTCTAGTAAAAGTTATTTAGCTTAAGTAAGTATAGCTTATTTTTTACAATTTTAGACGATGGACATATTATTATATCCGCCCAATTAAGTGGGATATTTTACAGTGATTCTTATGACTATATTTTAGCGCCTTTTTTACGATATAGACAGACCAACATGGCGTATACTTGATGGTAGGCGAAGTAACCCAACCATATAACATCTAAGCAAAGTGCGCTGTCGAACTATTTTATCTTCGGATGTTCGGAAATCCACAGACTTAAACCGAAACGCAATTACACTTCATTGCTTTTTCATCTGGTTCATAACCAAGATTTCAAACATGTTTCACAAAAATTATAAATTGATTATAAACATGTGAGACCCGGTTGGGATCGAATCCACAACCCGTTGATTATTAGCTATATATTGATACCTTTAGACCAACGAGCCCGTCAAATAAACAAACGGTTCTTCATAATGATAGTATAGATGTAAGTTGGAGAGAGGAGACTCGCTTACCAATCTAGTAACCCACGTCTGTAATAACTTTAAGTAGACCGGTTTTTCGTCTACAATCTTAAGTATGTAGATGCATTTATTGTTTATGTTGCTTAATTTAATCGTTACTTGACTTTATAAGTATTTATAGCAGTACTTAAGTCGCCTTGTGATATAAGGCTGCTAAAGACAGAGTGGCCTAATAACAAAAAACATGATTAGGAGGCAAATAAAAACTTGGCGAAAATGAATTTGTACTATTATTTGTGTAAGAATTATCTTAACTATTTTCGGTCACTGTGATCTTGTAGATTAACATTTTTAGACTATACATATATAAAAGTCAAGTTATAAATAGCAGTTAGGCCACTCTGCCTCTAACGGTCTTATATATAATACACATTTCATCTTTTAAAACGTTGAATCAACTAACTCATTATTCAGGTAACCCTGCGGTGTCGCAACCTTATCTTCACGATATCATGACGTATCGTTCATATCTTGATAATTATACCTATATGATAATTTAAATAAAATGTATTTCGATGAGTTAATTCAAATACTTTACGTGTACCCCAATAGCA